CCCCGCCCCTCGCACAGTGATTGCTGGACATGGGCACCAGCGACCCCCGTGACCCAAAATGGAATAAGCGGGTAAAGATAATGGATGGATATATTAGTTATATGTTGCATCACTCCATATGTAAAAATGCAGCCCCAAACTTCAAGGGAACCTTCACTGTCCTTTACTGTTGCCTGCAGGAACTCATTGTTGTTGCGCTCTTCAGCTTTTGCAATCCAGATTTCTCAGTTTAATTCCGTGTGAGCTGCACCTCTCTGGGAGACGAGCTGCAGCTCATTAAGGAGGCAAGGTGTAATGAAAGTGAATATGGCAACTACTTCTTTAACCATAGCTTTATGTCGATTATACTGTTTTTGTGATCATTTGGAGCAAAACTAGTTTGAGTTAATAGCTCTGGTAGTAGCTGAGAGTCTTTCCCAGCACATACTTTGAGGACTAATTGATTTTTGGTTTGAACAAGTTTGGAGTCGGCTGTATTTTTGTTAGCAAAATATTTCATGAACCACTGTACTGATTTTGATGAAACCGTCAGAAAGCGATCGTCATTCGTTGTTTTTGTTTGCTAAGGCTGATTACCGGTAGTCGTAGCAGCTACCGTACTTTTAGAGGGGGCTGACACCAGAATGTTGGAGGTATATACCCAATTATGATCTTTGTTTCATTAAAGACTTTGCACTACTTTGTGAGATTTTGCTAACAGATGGGATTGACTCTAGCAAGTAATTTCAAAATTTGCAGCAAATGTGTGTTGGCATATAGATTATATATTGAGGATGACTCTCAGCTACTAACACACTAAACTGTAGCTCGTCTTTTTTTTAGCATTAGCTCTTTGTCTGAGTTAGAGCCATTTTGGTGTTTAAGATTAATTAGCTGTGACAGCCATGATGAATCAGGTTGACTCCAAATGGTAACCAGTTATAGGTGTAGGACCAATGATTTAATTCTGAGAATGACTTTTTTAAATGCATTCAGTGGTTCATTAAGTATTTTTCTAACATGACATGCACACAGAAAAATACATGACTGCACACTGCCAAAAGGTGGCTAGTGACAAATTCAGTGTTTAAGCATACCTGCAGTATTATCCAGAGATTTACATAAAAACTATTGGTAAGAATGTTAATTAAACATTTATTATAACATAATGTTAGGATTTTTGTCGATAGTTTTGATTGCTAAAAACATTCTACCAAAAAATACTGCTGACTTTTCGCTGACGTTCTTTAGACCGGCCCTGTGATTGACATGCCAGTTCCTGCCAGCTACAATGACATCACACAAGACGCCACACTGAGAGATTTTGTTGGCTGGGTGTGGTATGAGCGAGAGGTGATGATACCTGCCCACTGGATCAAAGATGGAGGCGCACGAGTGGTTCTCAGAGTGGGAAGTGCTCATTATCATTCAATAGTGGTGAGGATGACGCGCATCTTCCTAAGCCATTCCAGATTTCACAACTATGTAACATCAAGTCTTTGTGATTTGATGTCTTTCTATTCACTAGTGGGTGAACGGTGTGAAAGTGATGGAACATGAAGGTGGTCATCTTCCTTTTGAGGCTGACATCAATAGCGTGCTGCAGCAGAACTCCACTATGCCGTGCAGGATCACCATTGCTGTTGACAACACTCTGACTCTACATACTCTTCCCACAGGCAACATCCAGTACATGAACGACACCACTAGGTACCGTAATCTCTTTAAAGTTTTCAGTTCACAGATTAATCCATTTGGATGTGATATCTAATGAGAACATTTGATTTGGTCTACAGGTATCCTGTTGGTTATTTTGTGCAAACTGTCACCTTTGATTTCTTCAACTATGCTGGAATAGACCGTTCTGTACTTCTCTATACCACACCTAAAACTTACGTGGATGACATTACAGTGGTTACAGATTTCTCCGGGAACACAGGTAATAAAATTATAACTCTGTAAGCACCGATCTTCATGATCATTAATTGTTTTTTTCTCTTTAGGATTTGTTAGGTACAATGTGTCAGTCGGAGGTGCAGCTACATCCAATGTGAGGGTCACTTTGATAGACAAAGAGGGCCACCCTATGACCTCCTCCAGTAAGCTATCTGGAGTGCTTACAGTGGCAGATGTTAAGCTGTGGTGGCCATACTTGATGCATGAGAATCCAGGTTATATGTACTCTATGGAGGTAAGATAACATGCTTGCCTATTTTTTATGGAATTTAACACATAAGTAACTACAGAAATTAGCAACAGGGTAGAGAGAAAGCCTCCATCTATCTTATGCTGCCTGTCCAAGACTGGGTCATGGAGACAACATCCTTTGCAAAGATCTTCAGACCACCTCTTTTCCATCTACCTCTTCCAGTTCATCCAAAGTTACTTTGAGAAACTCCCAAGAAGGCTGTGAGATATAATCTCTCTGTAACATTTACTGGGTTTACCTTGAAGTCTCTTCCTGATGGAGGATATCTCAGGGGAATATGTCTGAAACTTCCTTAGAGGAAATTCAGAAAAAAATGTTCAGATGTTCTTATTCAGACCCATTAACAGCTCATGATATAGAGGAGCAGTAACTCGCTCCTCACCCTACAGAAGCCTTAGCCACTTTGTAGAGGAAGCTCATTTAAGATGATAACCCTGATATACAATACTTGAACTCCCTCACTTAGGGCAGTTGCTTATGTGTTGAAAAAAAAAAAGTTAAAAATTTGTGGTTATGGGTTCAAGGAGCTAAATGTGAAGGTGTTAGTGACACATTGTCTGTCATTACTAATAACTAAATCAGGTGTTTAGTGTTTGGGTGGATTGCTCTCTTCGGGTCGTGGGTGAGGTTCTGCCTCAAGTGGAGGAGTTCAAGTATCTTGGGATTTTGTTCATGAGTAAGAGAAGAATGGACTGTGAAATTGACAAACAGATTGGTGCAGCGTCTGCAGTATTGCAGACCCTGTGCTGATCTGTTGTGGTGAACAGGGAGCTGAGCTGTAAGGCAAAGCTCTTTGTTTACCAGTTGGTCTACGTTCCTACCCTCACCTATGATCATGAACTTTGGGTAGTGATTTGAAAGAATGAGATTGTGGATACAGACAGTTGAAATTAGTTTCCTCTGCAGGGCACTTGGATTCTCCCTTAGAGATAGGGTGAGAAGTTCAGTTATCCGCGAGAGACTTGGAGCAGAACTGCTGCTCCTCCACATTGAAAGGAGCCAGTTGAGGTGGTTTGGGCATCTGGTAAGGATGCTTCCTGGGTGCCTCCCTCGGGAGGTGCTTCGGGCATGTCCAACTGGGAGGAGACCCTAGGGAAGACCCAGGACACTCTGGAGACACTCTCGGTTGACCTGGGAACGCCTTCAGATCCTCCCAGAAGAGCTGGAAGAGGTGGCTGTGGAAAGAGATGTCTGTACCTCCCTGCTTAAGCTGCTGCCCCCACGACCCAACTTCGCAATAAGCGAAAGGTAATGGATGGATGGACGGTATTGAGCGTTTGCCTCAGGTGGAGGAGTTCAAGTATCTGGGTGTCTTGTTCATGAGTGATGGTAG